AAAAAGAACAACCAGTTCAAGAAGGCAGGAAACATTGGTGGCTCATACCAGGTCTTAAAGAAAGGTCCCCTAAGGTCTTCCTGAAACTGCAAAGCTAAGTCTTTCATCAAAGGTCTTAGATAAGGAGCCAGAGCTGTAAGACACAATAGATCACCAACTCCATCATTTGCCAGCACCCATAGTGAGCATTGGTAGCAATATATGCTACGTGAGGCCACTGTTCAGGCCATGGGACAGATAGCTTAGCGAGACCCAAAAGCCCAGGGAGTCTTGTAGCAGTTGCCTGCCAATTGGAGGAAAGTCCTGTCCCCTGGCTGCCTTTTCATCAGGCTTGAACCCAGATGAGTTCTGTTATGCCCAGTCCTCCAGGTGTCCCTCTACAATGGCACCAGCAGGGAAAAGGAGATTGGGGCGTCACGTGTGATGTTCTCCAGGAGTGGCAGTGATGGTGCTGGAAGAGGTGAGGAGACAGCACTCTGGGCCTCATTCAAGGGAACAGTTCTGCTCAAATCCTCTAGGGTTTGACCCCTTGGATCTGCGCCCAAAGACCTCTACAGTTCAATAAAACAACAGTTCTTTGAGCTAGAAGATCTGGCTTCTAGCTTCAACTCTGCTACTGTTTTAGCACATCATTTCTTTCTGGGTCTTTTCCTGCTCTATAAACACGAAAGGATAGGTGAGGTAACCTCTAAGTTCCTCCCAGGTCTGATATCTTACTATTCTCATTAAGTCAGCTTTTGGTGGGACGCCTGGGTGGCTCAGCAGTTGAGCGTCTGCCCTTGGCTCAGGGTGTGATCCTGGTCCCGGGATCCAGTCCCAAGTCGGGCTCCCTGCATGGAGCCTACTTCTCCCTCTGCCTATGTCTCTACCTCTCTCTTTCTCTGTGTCTCTTATGAATGAATGAATGAATGAATGAATGAATGAATAAATAAATAAATAAATAAATAAATAAATAAATAAATAAATAAATAAATAAAATCTTTTTTTAAAAAAGTCAGCTTTTGGCTACTCAGTGTGCCATTCATTTGCTTGTTGGCTTTCAGATCGCTACTCCTCCCCTACTCTGCCTTAGATTGTGCAGGGCTAGCGCAGGGCTAACACCTACAGCCTACATTTCCCAGGCTCCTCTGTCACCTATCTTCGGGAGGCTCTAGTGGCAGATCAGAAGGTGGGAAGTAGCAAGAAGGGTAGTTCTCCCCGTCTCTGCTTTGAAAGGCAACTCAAGTAGTGGCTGTGTCTTCCCAGTTCCAGATCCTGCTAGATGGTCCTCACCAACCTATCTGCCTTTTTAGCTCTTGCAACACCCTTATAACAAGTTCCCTGTGTTAAACTCCCTCTGTTGAACAGCCCAGCAGGTGCTATTTTCCTCACCAGACCCTGACTGATGCAGCCAGGTTCTGGATTATCTATAATCATTCTCAGGCCCACTGCTGTACCACCCAGGTCATGTGCACTCTTGTATGTGCCCTTGATTTTATCCATGTAGAGAAGGAAATGGAAGGAGAGAAGGAGCCAGAAAGTGAACTGTCAATGATTGAGCATAATCCTAAACCAAATCTCTGCCCATTTTCCCCCTGCATCTGTACCACTGAGCACAGCTGGAAAAAAATCTCCCAACTATGCCGTTCAGTCTCTGCATAAAGTCATGGCTGCTGCCCTAAAGGCAAGCCTGCAATACTGCCTGCGATACTGCCCAGCAGCCACCTTGCATTTCCCTAGAGCATTCACTCCCCTGTCCTCCTGGGTGACTGTTCCTTTCCTGGTCCTCTCTACTCAAACCCCAGAGTCGCCTCCTCCTCCATCCATCATCACTCTCAGCTGGTGACCTTGCAGCCTGTTCCAGAAGCATTCAGAGGGAACAAGTTCCCACCACCCACTCCTCCACATTCTACCTCTACTCAGTTATTCTCCCTTCTCTTCAGTAACTGGGTGAACTGTCCACACAGCAGGCGAAGGACAACCCTCAGATTGATTTCTCATGATCAAGATCTATTTCTTCATGCCTACCCGGGCTGCCCTATCTCTGTCATTTAAAAATTTCTCTGTTGGGTGCAGCCCCGGTGGCCCAGCGGTTTAGCACCACCTTCAATCGAGTCCCACATCGGGCTCCTTGCAGGGAGCCTGCTTCTCCCTCTGCCTGTGTCTCTGCCTCTCTCTCTGTGTGTCTGCCATGAATAAATAAATAAAATCTTTTAAAAAATAAATTAAAAAATTAAAATAAAATAAAAATTTCTCTCTTGGGGGGTCTGGGTGGCTCAGTTGGTTAAGCGTCTGCCTTCAGCCCAGGTCATGATCCCTGGGTCCTAGGATTGAGCCCTGCATCCATTGGGGGAGTCTCTGCTCAGTGGGGAATCTGCTTCTCCCTCTGCCTCTGACCTTCCCCCCTGCTCATGTTCTCTCTCTCTCTTTCTCTCAAATGAATTAGAATTCTCTTTTGATTCCACTTCCCACCCTGGCCACTACCCCACCTCCCCCTGCTCTTTCAGCAGATTCTTCAAGGGAGATTTTTGGTTTTGGTTTTGTTTTTTGTTCTCTCTTCCCCTAACCTTCTTTCTGCAGCCCACCTCAACCAGGCTTCTGTTCCCACCACTGTGTCAAAACTGCTCTTGGAAAAGTCCCCAGAGACTGTGCATTGCTAAATCCAATGATCAATTCTCAGTCCTCAGCTTACTGGATCTTGCCACAGCATCTGGCACAGCTGGTTCTCCTCTTCTCCCCTCTAAATGTTGGCATGCCCAGGACCAGGATACTTACTCTTTTCTACCTACACTTCAAGTCTCATGGCTTTCAATTCCATCTTCATTTCTCTTGTCTCTAGGTACCCACACTTGGTCCAATCTGGACCTCTCCTCTGAGGTCCAGGTTCATATATGCAACCACTTACTTAGTATCTCCATTTAGATGTCTGGCAGGCATCTCAAACTGCACAGATACAAAACTGAGCTCCTAATCATTCCTCTTCTCAGCACACGGTAACTCCATTCTTCCAGTTGCTTGGGCCAAAAACCTTGGATCGTTCTTTCCCTCTTGATGAGGATGGATGGATCCATTTATTGACTTAATCCTCAGAACAGATCTAGAAACTGACTACTACAACCGTGATCTGGCCCCAATCATTTTGTACAAAGATTACTTCAATAGTTTCCTCTCTGGTTTCTCTAATTATGCCCTTGTCCCCTTCATTGTTCTTAACATAGTGACCAGAGCAATTCTTTTAATACTTGACACGTCATAGCACTCAGCTCAAGTAAAAGCCAAAATTGTCACAGTGGTTACAAGCCCCAACAGCATCTGGCCCTATTATCCCTCTGACTCCATCTCCTCTTACTCATTCTGTTCTAGCTATGCTGGCCACTTTGCCTCCTTGAACACTCCAGGCATGCTTCTGCCTGAGTGCCTCTCACTGAGGAGTCCTTCTGCCTGGAATGCTTTTGCCTCAGAAAATCTTCCTCTCTCCATGTCCTTCCTGAAATATTCCCTTCTCAAGATGGCCATCCCTGACCACCCCATTTAAAATTGAGTGCTCCTCTCTGATCCTTCCCTGCTTTATTTTCTTCCCAACACTGATTTCCTTCTCATAAACTGTGCTTTTTTCTTTCTTCTTTTTCTTTCTTTCTTTCTTTCTTTCTTTCTTTCTTTCTTTCTTTCTTTCTTTCTTTCTTTCTTTCTTTCTTTCTCTTGTCTATTATCTTTCTCCCTTTGCTAAAGTATCCACTTCACCTGGCTTGGCAATGTATGTTTTCTCACTGCTATGTCCTCGAGTCCAGCACATGCTTGGCACATAGCAGGTAGTTAGTAACTGAATGAATGAAGAAAGCCATGGAATCAAACTCCGCTGAATCATACCCTATCTCTGGACTTCTTATTATAGAAGCCAAAAATGTCTTGTCAAATCAAACTGAGTTGGGGTTTCTGTTTAGCGGAAGTGAGCTGAACTGTTGCCCATGTTATCTCACTTAAGCCTCATACCAATTCTGAGAGTTAGATATGTCCCTCTTCCAGATAGGAAAGGTGAACCCCTGAGAGATTAATTTCTGTTCCAGAGATCACACAAGCTAGTAAATCACAGACCCGAGTTCCTCAACCCCTCCGACTGATGCCAAAGCCATGAGTTCTTGGCTGTGGCACTCCACACAGACCATCATCCCCAGAAAGGACACCCGGGCTGAGCTGAGTCAGGAGCCACAGGATCAGAGGACTGCAGGTCACCAGGGGTCTCCACAAAAGAAACACTTGCCCTTTCAAGTATCAGATGTCGAAATAACCATCTTGTTTCTTGCATCTTGTTGCTGTTGTTTGCACGCTTATTGTCTGTCTCTCCTCTCAGCCAGCTCCCCATTCTATGTATCCCCAGTACCTAGCACAGTGGATGGATGAATAAATTGATCCAAGTATGATTCTGCTTAATGTCATTAATTCATTTAACAAATCCTGACTGAGCACCTGCCTGTGCCAAGCACTGTCCTTATGATGCTTACAGTCTAGTAAGACATTAAGTAAATAGTCACATACAAAAATCAGAGAGGAAAATAAAGAAAACCTGTGACCAAGGCCAGAAAAGTATGGTGTGCTGTGACAGCATACAACAGAAGCCCCTAATTTAGATGGGAGGCTATCAGTGAGGCCTCCAGATCTGAAGGATGAAAGAGGGGAGTTGTCCCAGGAGAGGAAACAGTTTCTGCAAAGATCCTAAGCGGGGAATGAGCCCGGTGCTTTGAGACTGAGGGGTGGTGGGTACTGTTGAGGGTCTTGTCTTGCAGGTGGTGGCCTGTGCCTCCCCGGATCTGCCTGCAGGGAAGAGGAGGAGAGGCCCCCTCCCCGTTTATAGTTTAATACCCTTCTGCCAAAGACAGGGAGCACAGGCAGGCTTGTGCTTGACCCACTGATAGAACAGCTCTGTTTGCAGCATCTCTATGTCCAGAAATCTGGATCCTGGTCACTTTTCTTTGGGCCAGTGTAGTTCAGAGAACTAGTCACTGCAAGTCACTCCGTCGAAGAGCTATTTTTTTAAAGATTTTATTTATTTGAGAGAGAGTGAGCGAGTGAGAGAGAACAAACAAGAGGAGCAGCAGAGGGAGAGGGAGAAGCACACTCCCTGCTGAGCAGGGAGACAGATGTGGGGCTCCATCCCAGGACCCTGGGATCGTGACCTGAGCCAAAGGCAGGTGTTTAACAGACTGAGCCACTCAGGTGCCATTGGGATGTCTCCAGAACAAGGCGATGGGGGCCAAAGCAGGAGTCCAGCAAGGAGGGCTTTGTAGAATATGCAGGCTGTGTGACCATGGCTAGGGTGGGACCAGAACAGCACAGAGGGGTGGAGGCCACTGCCCACTGATGACATCCTCCTTCTTCCGTTGTAGCCCTCCCAGGAGGCCAGGACCTAGGGCTAGCTTGCTGCTAGAAACCTGGAGGAAGGAGTTAAGAAGGCCAGGCTGATGAGCTGGAGACAGAGCTCTGTTTATCCAGGAAAAGAGGTCATACTAGGCAAAAGGGAGGCCCCTGCCAGCTCCTCCCAGAAGGACTGGGCTGGGGGAGCAAGCTGGAAAGGAAGCTGCTCCCCTGTGGGCTCCGGAACACCTGCGGCCTCCGGGAGGCGGTGAAGCACAGGTGAGGCCTGAGCTCCGGGAGTCCATTCGATCCGCCTGTCGTGGGCTCGGACTCCCAGGCCCGCTGGCATAAGGTTGCGGCCCCGCGGGTGGGGCGCCGGGGTGCGGCGGCGGCGGTGGTGGAGCCTCCAGGAGCCGGCCCTGGGGGTGGCCGAGAATCAATGCCGCCTTTGTGCTCAGTGGTTTCCCAGGGAGAGGAGTGGAGAGAGGGAGTGGCGGCCCAACGGCCTGTCCTGTCCGCCCTGCGGACTCTGCAAGCGGCGGCAGGGCGGGGAGGCTGGGGCAGGCCAACCCGGGTTTGAGCTGGAGGGTAGTCTCTGACCCCCGAGAGGTGCATCTCCTTGGACTGGCCCTGGGTGCTCGCAGGACCTCAGCCAGGTGTGCAGCGAGTGTGCTTCTGGCCTGGAGCTGCTCAGAAAGGAGAGGGAGGAGTGGGAGCGGACAGGTGGGGCAAGGGCCAAAGGATGGCTCGGTCTGCAGAGGCTTGCTCTAGGCTGCCGCTGTGGCTGCGGGGAAGACAGGCCCAGGGGCACCCACAAGAGTCTGAGTTCGAGATGGGGGAGGGAGGAGAAGATGAGCCTCCTGAGGGTCTCCCTGTCTCTTCAGGGGAGCAGGATGTACCAGCAGGGCTGGGGCTCTCAGTCACTGTTTGTGACCTACAGATCTTTTGATAATTCGAGAATGTTCCTCCATTCTCCTAATAGTAGCCTAGAGTTCTAGGGGGTGTGTTGGGCCTTCTAACTCTTTAGTGAGTGAGCATCTTCAGCACTGACGGCAGGGTCTGAGGTCTCGGGTGTCCAAGGCCTGCACCTGAAAACGTGCCTGTCCCGTGCCCACCTCCATTTCTCCGCAGACCCCCCCGGCTTCGCCGCGCCCCGTTTTTCCTCCTCTGTCGGGGGCCGGAGCACCGTGGTGGGCCAGCAGCAGCCCACCTCCCCCGGGCCTCTTCTGTCCTCCGCAGGCCTCCCAGGAACGCTGAATCCGCACCCTCTCGGTCCCGCGGCATTCGGAGCCGGAGCCGGAGCCGGAGCCGCAGCCGCAGCCGCAGCCGCAGCCGCGCCCCCACCGCCCCCGCATGTGGCTCTTGGAGAAGGCGGGCTACCGGCCGGGGCCGCGAGGGGCGCCGTGCAGCCTGCTCCCTGCGCGCCGAGCCCCGGGGCCGCCCGCCCGCGCCTGGCCCAACGTCCTCACCCCCGATCGCATCCCGCGGTTCTGCATCCCGCCTCGGCTCCCGGACGCCGGCGGTGCCGAGCCCCCGGCCGGGCGCAGCCCCCCCGCGGCCTGCTCGCTGCCGCACCTGGCGGGCCGCGAGGGCTGCCCCTTCCTGCCCGAGAGCCCGCACACGCGCCGGCGCGAGTCCCTGTTCCACCCGCCGCCCGCCCCCGCCCCCGCCGCCGCCGCCGCCGCCGCGCTCCCCCGGATGCACGTGTCCGCCCCGGACCTGCGCCTCTGCCGGGCCCCGTCGCCCGAGCCGTCGCACCCGCAGTCCCCGGGCGGGCCGCCGCTCTTCCACCCCGACGTCCCGTGCTGCCCGCTGCGGCCCGCCCGGGACATCGTGCTGCGCCTCGGGCCCCGCGGCGGGCAGCTGCGGCTCTCGGCCGAGTACCAGGCCGGGCCCGGGCGGCTGCGCCTGCGCCTGGTGAGCGCCGAGGGCCTGCCCAGGTCGCGGGCCGGGCCCGGGGGCGGCGGCGGCGGCGGCGGCGGCGGCGGCGGCGGCTGCTGCGTGGTGCTGCGGCTGCGGCCGCGCGGCCGGCCCCGGGGCCAGCGGAGCCGCGTGGTCGGGTGCAGCGCCAACCCCATCTTCAACGAGGACTTCTTCTTCGACGGGCTGGGCCCGCCCGACCTGGCCTCCCGCAGCCTGCGGGCCAAGGTGCTGGACCGGGGCGCGGGCCTCCGCAAGGACGTGCTGCTGGGGGAGTGTGAGACGCCGCTCGCCGCCCTGCTGCCGGCCCTGGGGGGCGGGGGGCGGTGCCTCGGTCCGGGGGCCGCGGCGGCGCCTGCCCAGCTCAGCCCGTAGACTGAGGGCCGGCTCTGCCTCAGAGAGGTCTCCTCCAGGCGTGTGGGTTCCTTCCTTTCAGCTGCCAGCCCATATTTATTTTTGCTAATAAAACGCCCCTCCTGGGCAGGCTGGCTCCTCTTGTTGGCACCCCACACTCAGATCTGCAGCCTACTTTCCTCCCACTGCCCTGACTGCACCAGGGATGGAAGAAGCTCATCCTGGTATATGCTGAATGGGAGCAGCTCTCTAGCGCTGGTTCTCAGACTTGCCTGAGCATCAGAATACTCGGCATCAGCAATCCTGTACCCCATCCCCAAGAGCTGCTGAAGCTCCTTTAATAGGTCGGGGGTTCTGGAGACCCGGGATCGAGTCCCGCGTCGGGCTCCCGGCATGGAGCCTGCTTCTCCCTCCTCCTGTGTCTCTGCCTCTCTCTCTCTCTCTTTCTGTCTATCTTGAATAAATAAAATAAATCTTTAAAAAAAGAATAGGTCGGGGGTAGGTAGGTCCTAGGGCTTGGTCTCAAAGGGCCTCCGACCCTTCAGGGAGCTCTCTAATCACCGAGTCACTCCAGAAAAAGCTCAGGGACTGAAACCAACTTCCACCTCTCTCCGGGGATGGGGGCGAGGGGGGGTGGCCTTGGGACTTCACAGTGAAAATCAGCAATCCCCTACTCATCCACCTCCCCACTTGTACCCACATCTCTCCTGAGGACAGATGAAATGTCTGTGTCTTGAAAGTGAGTCAGGAGATGTCAGCTCACGATGCTGAGTTGGGTGGGTGTCCTCTCTGTGCTACTCTCATGGGTGAAGCTGCAGCCAATACTCAGAGCAGCATTTGAAGACCAAATGGTAGAGATAAAATGTCCCAGGGATTGAGGTGGGAGACGTCCTGAGTGTGAGAGTTCTTCTCATCAGTGCCTGAAAAAGGCTGCCCCAGTGAGGAGGAGGAGGGTGGCAAAGGAGATGGATAAATGTAGGTCAGAATGCGTTCACCTCCTACCTGAAGGTCCCTGATGTCAGCAGTGATCTTCTTCTCTCTCTCCCTCTCCACCTTCTTCAGAGTTGGTTCCTGTTGGCTCGGGCCAGGCTTAGAGAAAGGAAGGAGAGAGAGAGAGAGAGAGAGAGAGGGAGGGACGGAGGGAGGGAGTGAGGGAAGGACGGAGTAGGGGGAGAGAGGAGGAGGAAAGCCCTGGGTGGGCCAGCCCAACTTCTTTCCCCCTCTCGCTTGGGCCCTTTCTTAGTTTCCATGGTGCCCTGAACCAGGGATGAGCCTGCTGGATCCTGATAAACCCCAACAGGTGTAATGTAACACAACATACACTTACTTCCCTGTTCAGATGGCTGGGATGCCTTCTCCCTCCCCTGATTGGGTACCCCCACCAGCCACCCCAGCCCAGGGCCAGGGCAACCTTGCTCCAGGTGTCCACCAGGTGGTAGCATTGACCAAACAATAAGTGCTAACAACTACAAAGATTAGCGCCCAGCAATTTGTCAACTTCTTCTTCCCAGCAACTCCCAGGAGGGCTAAGTACTATTGTTATCCAATGTGATGTTGGACTTCATTCCTATAGTGAGGAGTGATGCTAAGATTCGAACCCAGAGGGTCTAGCTCCAGAGTCTGGGCTTCTTTTTTTAAGATTTTATTTATTGACTTGAGAGAGAGAGACAGAGACAGAGACAGAGACAGAGACAGAGGGAGAAGCAGGCTCCCTGTGCTCCCCGTGGGGAGCCAGATGCAGGACTCAATGCCAGGACCCTGGGGTCATGACCTAAGCCAAGGCAGATGCTCAACCACTGAGCCACCCAGGAGTCCCCAGAGTCTGGGCTCTTAATCCCCTCACTATAATATCCCTAAATGCCAGCTGCCACCTCTCAACCAGGTCACTCTGGAAGGGGTCTCCTCCTTCCCTAGGATGACAGCGCTGCCATTTTTTCAGTCTGTGAAATCACCCATGGTTCTAGCCCTGTCCTCAACACTATCCTTCTACTTCAGCCCAAATCCACCCTTGCCCCCGTCACAACCTGGGGTGAGTAACTGGATCTGATGCCTATTCGAAAGTCCCTGGAAAGAAATGTAGAGGTCATTTAACTTTCATTCATGCATTCCCTACACAAGGTAGGGAGGCCCCACCAAGGTGCCAGGCAGTGATCAAAACAGACACAGGGGGATGCCTGGGTAGCTCAGTGGTTTGGCGCCTGCCTTTGGCCCAGGGCATGATCTTGGGAGTCCCAGGATCAAGTCCCACGTCGGGCTCCCCGCAGGGAGCCTGCTTCTCCCTGTGCCTATGTCTCTGCCTCTTTCTGTGTGTCTCTCATGAATAAAAAAAAAAAAAAAAAAAACAAAAACCAGACACAGGGATCAGAGAAGTTACAAAATAAGTAAGTAAAATGTGTAAAAAAAAGTTATTTGGTAATATGTTGTAGAGAAAAAGAAAGCAGGGAGCGGCATAAGAAAGGGGAGTCAGATAAAGAGAAGGGAAGACTATAGGAATGGAAAGAGGGAGGGATGAACCAAAACATCCTTTTCAACCACAGGACTTTGTACCCCAGTCCCATACTTTACTTGGATTATCCCAGTAATCATCACCATCGCTCCAGAAGCTTGGTACCATTATTCCCATTTTACTGAGAGCTAGATCAGAGAGGTTAAGGAAACCTGCCTGGGAATGGCCTGGCTCCCCTGGATCCCCCACCCCACCCTGCTACTCCCAGGTGGGAATTCAAAGAGCAGTTTACTCAGTTCACAGCTGGGAGCTGTCCCCATGCGATGGAGGCCACAGTGTCCCAGTCCTGGAGGAACTTCCTGGCCAGCTAAGGCCAGGTAGTGCCCCAGGACAGATGAGGTCCTGGGAACCCATCCCGTGTGCACACTGCTATTCACAAGGCCTGCACAAGACCTGTTCACAGGACAGTTTCTAGTGTCCCTTTGCTCTGATGTGGTCACTGAAGACTAAGAAATAGCAGGCTGTGTTCTTATCCAAGTCTTTTGCTCCAAAAATCAGAGCTGCTGCCTTTTAGCACTCCTTGCTGCGTCCAAGCCTAAGTGACAGGTGAGTGGTATGGGCAGGGTCACTATGGCAAGTTCAGGGCCAGGAGCTGGGGTCAAACTCCTACTGTTCCCTCCACCCACAGTGGCCTTTGTGACAGGAAGGGGGAGGGGTAGAGGCTGGGAGAGCTACATATGTTACAGAGCCTCCCTTGTGTTAATGGTTGAGGGAGGAGGAGGTACAGCCCCGTCCCTGGGTCACTCCTGTGGCTCAGATCTCCTCAGGCATGGACCTCCTAGAAAGGACCCAAGAAAAGTTGTCCTAATCATTGCATCAGGCTTCCTAGAGGGGGTGGCCCTTGAAGGATGGGGCTGGGGCAGTATGTGGCATGCAGGCTGCCCAAGCCCCACATACTTTCCACCTTCACACCACCAGGCCCTCCCTGGAAGTGCAGGCTTACACCGAGCTTTAAGTGGTTTCTGTGGTTTAAGGGGTGGGGAGGAAGGGAAAACAAGTTGGTGACTGCTCCCCAGTTCCAAGCCACCACTACCACCCTCTCCCCCTCCAGGCTGCTTGCCCCTGCATAGAGATTCCCCAGTCTGATAAGGGAACTTGGGCACATGGGGGGTGAAATGATTGTCTGATTCCTCTTCCTTGCCTAAGAACTGTAAGAATGAACTTGAGGAGGAAAAAAGTCACTGCCCCACTTTGAAAGGACTGATTCTTCCAGAAAAGGGGCCGTGATTGGAGCAGGAGCGAGGAAGATTAGGTATGGGGGGGGACTTCCCAAAAGGATGACCATGGCACCTTCTGGCCCCAGGGAGAAAGAATCCCAGACACCCATGCTTGGGATGGGGAAGGGGTAGAGACCCAAGAATGTCCAGGAGGCATGTGATTTGGTGAGGCCCAGAGGCCAGGACCCTGTCTTCCAAAGCCCCCGTCACTTCCTCCTCACCCTGCACAGTGGCACAATGACTTGGCTGGGAGAGGCAGCCCTACCTGTGGTGTCTGGGTGGGGGGCGGGGGCAGGACTGGCTGGCGCGGTACCCCTCCACTCCGTGCCCACCACTAGGAGGTCAGAAAGGGCCCTGAGAGACCCGGAGTCACAGAGAAAGATAGGCTGGAAGAGGAGAAAAGACAGAGAGGCCCAGCAAACAGAACCATGGACAGGGAGGGGCTGGCTGGGAGAGACACAGAGAGAGGATCCCAAGCGGAAGCAAAGCCAACCATCAGGCTGGGAAGGGTAGAGCAGTACAGCATGACCCCAGTTCCCCACCCCCCAGCCCTGTCCCCAGCCTCCCCTGGCGCCCCTGTCCCTCTGCCTCTGGCTGGCCCTCCTTGTCTGCCAGAGGGTACTAGGTGGGGCAGTGCTTCAGAGAGCATGGCCTGCCCAAGGGGTAGAGCCCCAGAACAGACCAGCATCCTGTTCTGTGCTGAGAAGTGTACCTAGATGCATGGGGATAATGAGAGGCACAGATATACACTGTCAGACTCTTGGCACAAGGAGGTCCCCAAAAGTGTCCACGCCACTCTTCCTCACTCCCTATCTCCTGACCTACCATCCTATGAGTTGGGAAGTCCTTCTCTACTTCTAATCTTCGTCCCTCAAGCTGCAGCCATTGGGAGACATGGGGAACCACCCTGGAGCAGAGGTGCTTATGGTAGCAGCCTGTGAAGCTCCAGGGTGGGGCAGGAGTGGAGGATGGTGACGGGGAGGGCAGGAGAGGGCCGGGACAGCTGCCTCCCCTCTCCACGCCAGGTGCCACGTGCTGTGGTGTGGCTGGCTCCTGCTCTGCTGTTTACCAGCTGGGAGCGAGAGCAGGAGGTGGTGCCAGGGAGCCGCCCCACTGCATCTTGGCCCCTGGCCAGCCAGCCTGTTGGGTAACTAGGAGAGCCAGGCCCAGCTAATCAAACTCTGGACCAACGCTGTGCAGGAGAGAAGTGGCCTCCAGGACCCACACCAGCCCCATTCTGTCCTAAAGCCTTTGGCAGAGCCCTTCCTCAGTGCAGGCCCACCCAGTCCAGGGGCTCTACTTCCTCCCATGGTGCAGAGCAGCAGCTCTCCAGGCCTCTCCCCTCCTCCACACCCCCATGCTCCTCCAGCCTGCAATGTGCCCCCAACAGACCAAGAAAATGTGGAGGCATCAGGAAGCCAGGGAATTGTAGGGAAGGGCAGCGAGGTGCAAGGGCCAAGCAGGCAGAGGCCTCAAGAAGCTGAGGGACTGTGGGATGAGTCTGACCTCATCCCGGAGAAGCAGCACATGCCCCACACACATACTGCCCCCCCCCCCACCGGAGAAGCCATCCCCTCCCCATCTTCCCTGCTCTTGTCGCCTTTCTTGGTCAGGTAGAAAACACACCATTCCGAAGTCACAAACACCTGGCTTCAAATCACAGTGCAGCCACTTACTGTCCT